GTGATGATATACATGGTCATTGCTGCTGCTCTGTGTTGTACTTTTGGGGAATTTTTATCTTTGGTGATTTTTTTTCTCTGTGAAATCAGTTTTTAAAAATCTGGTATCAAGTGTTAATATTTTAAAGTGAGGGAAGCAACTCCCCTAAACTGACTTTCCTGATTTAGGAAGGAAAGGGGCTCTTCACTCCCTGTTTTTAACAAGCTGCTTCTCTTGGGCCATTCATTCCAAAGCAGATTTGAGTTAATGAAAATGAAGAGTATTTGCTGACCCATCAAATTTTGGTATGCTCAGACTCTTAAATATTTTTATTTAGCTGCTTGAGGAAAAGACTCTACTTTGGAATGTGGTGGTATCCTGTCTTGTTAAAATTTAGTCTTATTTTTGTTTTCTTATGTTTTATTTATAGGACTCAGATAAATTAGACTTATAACTTTTAATTCAGAACTAATTTCAAATTTTGATTGCTTTTAAAATTGTATAGAATAATGACTATATCCCTGGCTAACAAGAGTTATGTATGTTTTAAATATACATATTTATGTTATCATTTTATATATAATAATAAGACATGGTTATATTGGTTTCCCAAATATGATCATTCACTAGTAAGTGAATAAAGTCAGCATTATTAAAATAATAAGTAACTAAGCATAAGTGATAACTTTAATCTTGGCCATAGGTGTAGAAATCACAAATGTCGACAAATGATGGAAGATCCAGGAATCGGGACAAGCATTACGATGAGGTCCCAGGAGATTTGGCTTATGAAGATGGCACCATAAGAACCCTCCAGACTCTTCGTGACAGTGAGCTGGCTGTGAGTGCTGATCCTTTGCCACCACCCCCTCTCCCATTACAGCCACCATTCGGCCCCTACTTCTACTCAAGTGACACAGAGGAACCAGCCATAGCACCAGATCTCAAACCCGTAAGGCGCTTTGTTCCCGAGTCCTGGAAAAACTTCTTCAGAAGGAAGAAAAAGGACCCAGAATGGGATAAGCCAGTGTCGGACATCAAATATATCTCCGATGGAGTCGAGTGCTCACCTCCAGCCTCTCCAGTAAAACCAAACCACCGTTCACCCCTCAGCTCCTGCAAAGATCCTTACGGAGGGTCAGAAGGAACCTATAATTCCCAGAAAGAGGCTGAAGTGATGCTTCCCCAGGATCCCTATGGATCTCTAGGCCGACACACACAAACAGCTCGAACATACAGTGAGAAGGTGGAGGCGTATAACCTGAGGTATTCCTACATGAAGTCGTGGGCAGGCCTGCTGAGAATTCTGGGTGTAGTGGAGCTGCTTCTGGGAGCCGGCGTCTTCGCTTGTGTCACAGCTTACATTCACAAGGACAGCGAGTGGTATAACATGTTTGGATATTCAGCACCCACTGCCATCGGAGGCATTGGTGGCCTGGGCAGTGTATATGGGGGCTATTACTACAGTGGTCCCAAAACCCCTTTTGTACTTGTGGTTGCTGGATTAGCTTGGATCTCCACCATTATTATTCTGGTTCTTGGCATGTCCATGTATTATCAGACCATTCTTTTGGACTCTAACTGGTGGCCCCTAACTGAATTTGGAATTAACGTTGCCTTGTTTATTTTGTATATGGCTGCAGCCATAGTCTATGTGAATGATATCAACCGAGGTGGACTCTGCTACTATCCATTATTTAATACGCCAGTGAATGCGGCGTTCTGCCGGGTAGAAGGAGGACAAATAGCAGCAATGATCTTCCTTTTTGTCACCATGATTGTTTATCTCATTAGTGCTTTGGTTTGCCTAAAGTTATGGAGGCACGAGGCAGCTCGGAGACATAGGGAATACATGGAACAACAGGAGGTAAGAAATTTCACTGTCATTTGTTTTTCTTTTTTTTACTTCCTTGTTAAATGTGTAGAGTTCTCAAAACAAAGAATTTGTAAAAGCTTTTTTTTTTTTTTTTTTAACCTGAAATTCAAAAGTCCTAGCTCATAAACTGACATGCCATGACTGGGATAACCCACTCTGGTGTGTCACTGTTGTATAACGCTGCCAGTGGACACCAGATATGCAATGTAGTATATGGCTTGTTGGCTGCATTATTATGTCTTTCTGATGCTTAAGGGGAAAACACGCTACTGAATTCATGCAAAGAAGAATACTAACATGTTCAACAAATGCCTCGTCATTAAAATAAGTTTGACAATAATCTCAATTCTTTACTTTGGTAAGACAAAAAACAATTTTTCAGTTAGAGGAGGAAACTGCTCATTTAAATCTGTTATGATGAGTCCCACTTTCTTCCACTGAGTTAAATAAAGTCAGGTAAGAATATGGTGAACTATATTTGATTTTTTTTTTTTTTTTAGTTATTGAGAGGGTAGGTTGTTATAAATATACCTTATGAAAACTTGCCCAGGTGTTCTGATGTTTCATCCATATTTTAGGGAGATGAGTGTTCCAAATTAGAATGGGAGCCATGCACTTGATTTTATTTCTGGAATTTAACTAAGCAAATATAAGAAGGGGAAGGGGGAGAAGGAAGAAGAGGAGAATTAATAATAATTCCTGGAGGATAAGACTATATAAAATTAAAATTATTTTATTTAAAAAGTAGCAAAATGTTAAGAGTATGTTCTACTAGCTTCGTTTTACCCTGAAGTAAGTTAATGTTTTGCTTTCTTCTAAGTAGGAGAGTGTAGTAGAACTGCCTATGCCACTGAAAATCTCAGTATTACCCTAATTTTTTCCTTAATTTTAAGTCAGCTATATCATGCATCTTTTCTCACTTTTCCAAAGATGTGCTAGATACTATATAATTTCATATGGTGTATGTTAGGCAAAACTATAGATAATAATGAAATACTGTTTTTATTTACTCAGTAACCTATTTATTTACTCACTGACCTATATATTTTGTTTTTAATCTTTTACAAGAATCTTACGTATATCAACAACGAAAAACTGATTAAGTTTATAACGAATACCTTATATGTTACATGGAGAGCCTCAGCATGTTTCAATATGATTCATACTCTTGTCACAGAATATATTTGTCTTATTAGAACTAGACATAGATTCAAGTTATTTCTAAAAGTTTATCTCAGCACATTAAGCAGATTTCTTAAATTTACATCTGTGTATACAAAGAACCTTAAATTCCAATCAATGTCAAATCTAGATAGTAAAACACACATGCTCATAATTTTATGTTTATAATTTTATGTAAGTTTAATAACAGAGTTCTTAATGTTTTTTTTAAATTCTGCGTGAATGATTAATTATCAATATAATACTTTCTTTTCTCTTTCTCAACAAAAACTTGTTTTTATCAGACTTTTCACAATGATTGATTAGACTTGAATCACCTCACATGTTGGAGGTTGTGCCTTTTTGTGTATTGTTAGAAGATGTAATGGCCTGTGGCTTTTTTCTGTTAATTTTGTAATGTAACTGTCCCCAACTCTTTAACTATGCAAGGTAATGGGAGCCAAGAATAAATAAAATCTCTAGGGAATTCAGAGCAACTCACCTAATAGTCCCTACCATCTCCATGTTTCCAACTCTGCTGTCTGCTCCTGATTCACAGGGAATTACAGCTATTCCTCCTCCGCTGTTTTCCATTGGCCCATGGAAATGTGGCAAAAAGAGTAGGAAGAACATCTGGCAAGTAAAGAATCAACCTGTATAAAACAGATTGGGCTATATGGCTGAAAACATTTATAAAGTAGCATCACATGCCTTTGAAAAATCATTTTAATTCTTTTCATTACAGATAAGTGAGCCATCGTTGCCATCAAAAAGGAGAATGGTAAGAATAAAGTTCACATTATAGTTTATCTCTAGATTTATTATTTTCTCTCTATAAATCTACAGGGTATATCTGTCTGTGAAAGTGTATCTTACATCAAGTTTATAATAGGACTTTCAGCTTTTTTCTAATACTGAAAGGATCAAATGAGACAAGGCTATTTATAGCTGCTTTTAATTTTGTTCCATGAAATCTTATGCAAGTGAACTGTTGGTTCTCCTTATGTTTAATTTTTAATTTTTTAAAAATGAAAGTAATTCTTCCAGACTTTCTTCAGTCTCTTTAAATGTCTTTGCAGTTCTTTTTCATCCTTTTCACTTTGCTTCCAGATACCAAATTTCGTTGCGTCAGGAAAGAAATTCGATGATTTACTAACTGTGTGTCAGTAGGCAAGGTATTTAACCTTCTAGTGCCTTGTATCTTCATCTGTAAAACTGGAGTAATAGTAATAACTTCTACCCACAGGATTGCTGAGAGGATTAAATGATAAACAGTGCTACAGTGAATAACCTTATGCATATAAGTATATACTTTATTTTATATATATTGATTGCCCATTTGCTCAATGGAAGTTTTACCAATTTCTACTCTCAACAGTACAACAGGCTTCCTCATCTCCTGACCAAAACAGTGTGTTAGGAAATTTGTTAACATCTGTCATTCTGATAGGTAAAAAAATCGTATCTTATGTGGTTATAATTTGCATTTCTCTTATCAGGAGTGAGGTTGAGCATTTTTCATGTTATGTTTGCATTTCTTTCTCTATTAACCGTCATATCCTGTCCAATTTTTTTTATTGAATTGCTAATTTGTACAAGTCCTTTGTTAAGTGCATACATTTTGAAAATACCTTTTATGAGTTTTTTTCACTTTATTCTTTATAACACACAAATACTATTTGAAAATATTTGTTTGTGCTGCAATAGGGATTTATGAGGCCGGTGAACAGTCTGTCCAAGGGATTGTGATTAATACATCAGCATCATTCTTAATTAATTCATTGAGCAAACATGTGCCAGTTAGGCTGTGGGCTGAATACTACAGGGAGTATTGCCTCCATTTTACAAGGGCTTCCAGATCTAGTGAAAAAGAAAACACAGACAAAAGATTAGTAGAATGTGATAATTGCGGGGGAGGGGCACAAGCATCAAGAGCTATAAAATTTAAATAATTTGCTTAAAGATTTGTATTTCTCTGACATCTCCTGGGGAAATGAACTTATGGATGATAATGTCTCAAATTCAACATGGTTTATTGGTCATCTTTGGGGATTTATAATTAGCCACATTTTTTTTTTTTTATAGAGTCAGTTGCATTAAATTATTTCTGACATGGATGTGAAGTCCTCTGAATTGCAGCTGAGATAGCTCAAAAGCTTTTCTGAGATTATTTTGGATATTCATAATTCTTTAGAAATCAAGAGATATCTGACGAGCCCTGACTGACTAGGCATGGGACAGATGAGACAGGTATGAGCTGGTCTACAGAATATTAAAGAGTCTCTCTCTTACAAGACAGTGTGGACCTGGTGCTACAAACCTATACATTTTAAATATTGTCCATAGAATTAGAGAAAATACCACTGTACCTCTGTGTGTGAAGCTTTTTGTTTTGCACTTTGTTTTAACTTCCCGATTCTCTTAGTTAGTTTTATTTATTTATTCATCGTTTATTGCTGTCAGACATTTCAATTAGATTTGTTCTAATCCAGTGGTACTAAAAGTCAGAGTAAGTAAATAGATGTTCACTTTTGAGCTATCTGAAATATACATATCAGATATTCCTGAAAGTGATAATGGTAGTTGCTTTTAGCCAGGCACCTGGCTAACTAGGGGGACAAGGATAAAGGGAGACTTTTCATTGTGTGCCCTTTTGGACCTTTTGAATTATATACCATGTGTATATATTACCTATTCAAAAATGTTTTAACTTTTTTAAAAAGTAAATTAATACTCATTTCAAGTATTGAGACAAGGAAAATGAGGCTAATGTTTAAATAATAACACTGGCCTTCTGTTTGAGATTTAAGTGCCACCTCCCTAACTTATCCTGTGAGCTGCCTTCCAGTGTTAGTCCAGAGACGTAAGTGAGTTTGACCAAATGCAGAAAGCAGTCTTCCCAACTGGGAGTCACCACGAGGGTGGCTTTGGCAGATGGTCACCAGTACTTTCATTCAAGATGGCTAGTATCACCTTAACCCACTGGTAAGTCCTGCTCCCTCAGAGAGACTGGCTAGGAAATTCCTAAATTCCACCCTGGCCAGGAATGAATCGCAGTCCCATTAAGAGTCCTAAAATAATGTTCGCTGTATGGAAAATACTGAGTTTAAAGGGACTTTGGTTTAAAAGATGGATCAGGGTTAGAAAGACTGTTTATAATGGAAAAGGGGCCTAAAAACTTACATATGAGGACATTCATTTTTTAAAGGCTGTCTCAACAGGTGACATCAAAATCTGATATCAGAGTTAGCAAGTCACAGTGCTAACATTAAGAAAGATGTTCTGGAGCACCCTCAGGGACAGAAGATAAGACTGTTTGTCTTGTGGGGTTAAAGGTGGCGTATGTGTTGCCGAGCAGACTGCTCAACGCAGGGCTGGACAGGGCTGCTTCCTGAACTGCAGTGTGGTAATGATGTGGGAGGGGTGGTCATTCTTGGCCAGGATGGAATTTATGGGCTTCCTGGTCAGTCCCTTTCGGGGATTAAGTGCAGAGTAGAGTAAAAGACTTGACTTAATTAGAGGAAGGTGCCCCAAATGATAGAGTGGTCAGCCTCCTTGGTGAGAATGTGGCTGTAGCAGGGACGGGATTGGAAGGATCTGCCCAGGAGTTCTAGGGTACCTCTTTTGAGCTACCTTAGAAGGTTGGTGCTCAGCATGTCCAGGGTCCCAGATCCTGAGAGAGGTCCTGAACCTTAGCAAAGTTGGAATCCCCGTTCCTGGGACTCCTTTTCAAATCCTGTCAATCCAGTTACCTTGTCCTCTTTCAGTATGTGGGAGTTGAATGCAAAATGCAGCCTTTCAAAGGCCTCTTCCTGGTAGATGGATCACTGTGAATCAACGTATTGAGGTGTATTCTAGAGGCAGACCTCTGTGAGAAGGAATCTCATGACTTAGAATCTCTATCGACTGACCAGTGAGACTCCTTAGAGAAAAGATTAGATCTCCAGTTTCTCGTCGGATATGATATTCACCTTTCCTTCCTAGTCCTTGGCAGGGAAGAATTAGCAGCCTACCACAGGAGAAGCAGTACAGTGTGATGAACGGAAAATAAACTTTGGGAAAAGGCAGATCTGAACATGATTACTAGATCAGCTACTTCCTAGCTCTGTGACTCGAGGGAGATTAGTTACCCTCTCTGAACTTCAGTTTCCTGTCACTTGTTTGGATCTATCTGCTAGGCTGTCCCTTCTTATTTTGTGTTTTAACAATTACAGTTTATAAAAAGCAAATAAGATTATTTTTAAAATAAATAATATACAAACATAAAGTAAGATCACTTAGAGACAGAAACAAATTCTAATAAATCCCTAAGTGCAGAGCAGATTTCTTTCCCAAGCTAGAAAAGCCAAAAGCTAACCTGGGTATCGAAAGTAATGGTGTGGGTTTGGAATCAGGGGCCTGTGTATCATTACATTATATGCTCAAAGGGAGAGAGAATCAAAAACTGGACAAATGCACACTGAAATACATATCTAGCTCTCCCCGTTTCTAATTTAACAAATTATTCATTCATTCAGCCCCTTTTTAATTTGAAACGCTTAATAATTATATCCAAAGCATTACTTATCCCGTTGCTTAATTACTTTCTCTTGCCTCACAATAAAGCTTTTCTGATATTTGCTGACAAGACGTTTTTACTAGAAGCAAAGAAAGGTCATGAAATCTGGGGCTTTGTGGTTGTAATCAGGAACACTGGTTGAGAGTGGTCTGTCCCAAGGCTGGGGCCCAGCTCAGGCTTTCTGTGAAAGCATAAAGTGGTTTTGATTCTTTGTCTCATGTCTAGTTTCAGACATTTTTTTCCCAGTAGGTTTTTCTAAACCGATGGTCAATGAAGTTCACTCAAAAAGAGTGAAAGAAAATGTTAAAAGCACACACACACACACACAAATTAAAGCAGGCTAGACAGTCTTTGTGAAAATATTGAAACTCCCTCTTTACATTCAAAGGTAAATCTTGGAATTAGAGAGGGGCAAGTAAGAAAGATGAATAGTTCCTGCTTGAAAAAACTTTACCTAGGGGAGGAGAAAAAACCTCATATGGACTCTTCACATAGACTCTCCTGCCCACTTCCTCCACCAACTGCCTGAGAAATGGATTAAGTATTTAGAAGCTAAAAACGGATACCATGAAACATCCATTCACTTAAGCCAAAAAGATTTCCCCTGATGTTTAACACCATGATTCATTTTCAAGATTAAATATAAAAGAATTCATTAGGGTGAAGACTGGCATTCTCAAGCATCATTGATCCAACCCTCAGACTCTGCTCCTTGAAATACTCTTGTTTCACCGTGTTTCCTCAGGGTATTTAGCTCCCCATTCTCATTTTTGCTGTTTGGGGCCCACTGGCTAGGCATGCTTTAGGTGATCTGGTTCCCCTTCACCTAACGTCATGGCTGCCAACTTCTCCTTCTTATAACCCTTTCCCAGGGCTGGTTAGCAGTCTCCACATTTAATTCTCTACTCCATGGGCTGCCCTGTTTGGTGAGTTAAGAGCTAGTGGTTTTGAGAATGAGCTAATGTTAGACCAAACCTCAAAGGCTGCCTCAGAGATAGGAAATCAGGAAACAGAGGCTTTTAAAAGCTGTCAGGCAAGGTTTTAAAATCCTGTTTTATATATATATTTTTTTCAGTGAAGTCGGGGCCCTCCCAAGCTGCTCTCAGTTTAGTTCAATGAGTTTAATTCAGCAAGCACGAACTGAAGGCCCAGGGGAGCCTTGGGGGAGCTTCCTGCTCTAAGGAAGAACCACTGTGCCCATAGGCGAGCTCCCTTTCCTCCAGCACTACAGCGTTGCCCACCCTGCCTTACAAACTCATTTCTAGTCCTAAAGAACTTCAGGAAGCTTTCGGATTGAACAATACACATTTAAGTAAACCAGTTTCTTTGTGTTATTCATTTAAAGTATCGATGAGCCAAAAAGTTCTAGATATCAGTTGTGGCTTTTCCACTTCATAGCTGTGAGACCTTGGAGAATGTACTTAAGCTCTCTGAACCTTGCTTCTTTATGCATAAAATGGAAACCCCTCCTCCTGGCATCCACCAGCCTCACCAGCTTGGTTGGTGTTCTGGCCACTGCCCAGTGGGGTCCCTGAACAGTCTTTTCCCAGCCCCTAAACTGTGTATCCGTCTTAGCCTGCCCACTCCTGCTTCTCTGTTGGCTATTTTAGTTCTTAAGGCCTGTCCCCAATATTTCCTCTCTGGGCCATTTCATCTTGTGTTCTTTTCCTCTCTTTTGAATGTGCCATTTTTTACTAAAAAGCCTGCTAGGGGCTTCCAGTTTAGAAACCAGGGTGACTTAAACCAGCACCTTCAGGATCCTTGTAGGCCCTCAGGGAATCGCAGGGTGGGGACGCCTGGGCAGATTGAAGACACCTATCACCTCTTTCCTCTGGAAGGGCTTGCTTTCCTTTCAGATGATGAACATAACGCCCCTCGTTTCTCTTTCTGACCTCCACAGTGGCTGCTGGAATTGATTCATCTCAGGTTCCAGTGTCATTTTTTCTCTTTTCCATTTAAATAGCCTTGTTCCATTTTTATTCTCTGAATTTCTTATTTTTAACTACTTTTTAAAATTCTTTTACAATTAGTTGGAGTATAAATCCTAAATAAAGTACTTAAGACCCCACATTTAACATTTTATCATCCACCTTTGACATATACATTGGGGTTTAATGGTGTTCTACTTATTATGTACTCCCATATCTCAATGTGATTCCCTTTAGCTATTACAAAAACATTCAGAACAACTTTGTGACTATAAAACATGTAAGTCTGAAGTGAAATGTAGTTGCTCTTTACACTTTTCTTACTCCTGCGTCTCCCTCCATTCTCTCCTAAGATCAAATTTGGGTGAGTGTTTTTTTTTTCCTACTGCCTCTGTTTATAAACAAATCCTCTTTTTCTCCCAAACTGTAGTGTGAAATGGCTATTGGTGGTGACAGACAGAGAGACCAAGAAGTTAATTTCAAAGAGTTGAGAGCAACGAAAACAAAACCTGAAGTCCTGAGTGGACACATCCCCGCCGGCCACATTCCTAAGCCTATCGTGTTGCCTGATTATGTGGCGTGAGTATCCATCCGAATCCTCCGTCAGGTTAGAAATTGAGAGATTCCATCTGGGCTTTTCATTTTCCTGTTTGTCTCCAAGGTAACCTTCTCTGCTTAAAATCATTTATATTTGAATAGTTCTTTGTTACCCGAGACGTAATATATTGAACTGAAGGTGCAGTCTGGTCAGTGAGGAATAAGCTAAGCTGATTTCCCATTCAGCTTGTTTTAGTGAAAAAGTTATAACTCTGGTTATTTTTTTTTTCCCACAGAAAATACCCTATGATTCAGACAGATGATGAACGAGAACGCTATAAAGCTGTGTTCCAAGACCAGTTTTCAGAGTACAAAGAGCTCTCTGCAGAAGTTCAGGCCATCTTGAGGAAGTTTGATGAGTTGGATGCAGTGATGAGCAGATTGCCACCTCATTCGGGAAACCAACAGGTCAGTGTCTCCAGCTCCCTCGGAGAAGCACCAATAGTTAAGAAAGGATAAAATCTGACCTTTTTTGAAATATAGGAAAGCCATAACCATCTGTATCAGCTATCTGTGTCTATGAAAGTCATTTGAGATCTTCAAGGTGACTAGTCAAGATTACAATTCAAATTATATAATTTAAGCCTTCTGCCTTCAATTATTAAACAGTATTTTATTTTCTTATTTAAGTAAAGTATAAATTTGCCTAAGATACATATACTGAGTCAATCAGGGTCCCAATGGACAGTTGGCACACTCAAACTAAGATAATTCGAGGAGGGTTTATTCACTAAGGAGCAGGCAGGATATAGGAGAGCCAACCAGAGGACCTGCATTCTCTAGCAGTAAGTAACAGCCAAGTGGGGACTGCCCAGGCCCAGAGAGCATGGTGGGTAAGAATGAAGAGCAGCTCTGAAGCTCCGAACGTGAGCTACTAGGCACGTACATCAGACCAATAACCATGATCATGGCAGAGAAGAAAACCAGAGGTGGAGAGGGCAGCCATGGGGACTTAAGCATTTTCTGTAAAGTTCTGTCTTTTTTGTTTTCCTTTTCATATTTTAATATCTCTGAAATCACGATGCCCTCATAATCGATGGCATTTTTTATCAAATGTATATGTTTTATTGAGATATAATTCATATACCATAAAATTTACCCTTTTTTTTTTTTTTTAATTCTCATTATGGCAAATTCACCCTTTTTAAGTGTACAATTCAAAGAGTTTTAGTATATTCACAGAGTCATACAACCATTACTACTCTCTGGTTCCAGAATACTTTCATCACCCCAAAGTGAAACCCTGTACTTCCCCATTCCCACCTCTCTCCAACCACTGACAACTCCTAATGCGCTTTCTGTCTGTAAGGATTTGGTTTTTTGAACATGTCTTATAAATGCAGTGATATGATATGTAGCCCTTTGTGTCTGGCTTCTTTCATTTAGTAGGATGTTTTCAAGGTTCATCTATACTGTAGCAAAAATGAGTACTTCGTTCCTTTTTGTGGTGGGATAATAACATTCCATTGTAAGCATATATCATATTTTGTTTATCCATTTATCAGATGATGGACGTTTGGGTGGTTTCTACTTTTTAGCTATTAGAATAAGGCTGCTGTGAACTTTTGTGTATAATAACTTATCCTTTTTAAAGAGGATAGATTCATCTAATCTATTACTTGTGTAATTAAAATTTTAAGAACTCTCATAGCATTTTTAAATAAATGTCAAATACATTTTTAAATAATGTATGTATATATAACATATATATGTTTTTTATATATGTATATATATATATATTCATTCTTCTTCTTAGACCCGTATTAGTTGGGCATCTTTGTTTTGACCACATACTTTTAAGTGCACATTTAAATCAGTTATGAGTATGAGCTGTCTAAGCCTAATGTGTAGAATAGTGACATTTTCCCAATCCTGGAGTGAAGGGATCGTGTTGGCTAAGTGACACTAGTACCAGGAAGCAGGAAAAATCCAGCAAACACTGCAGGTCAAGGGTCAGTTAGTACCATTTGGAAGACAAGCAAGGTCCAAGGAGGGTGACCAAGTTTAGAGTCTCCCAGAGGAGTGCAGGAAGAACTAAGCAGGCCCCAGGAATCTGGATCAGCACAGGGCGGGAGGAGTGAGCTGATTGACAGACAAGATGCTGAGAAACTGAACCATGACATGTAGTCCTTGAGCCTAGACCTGTGGTCTCTGGTTTGTGGGCTTTGTATGAGTGGGCAGGGGCTCAGGCATGTGGGTCTGCAGTTGTGGGTTAGGCATCCTCAGTAGAGTCCTCCCATGGCATTGCCACACAGTATCAACAAGTCATCTCTCCTGGTCTTTAACGTGGTGTGGCAAGTAAGTAGCCAAATGACCAGGCCACAGTTAGTTTTGGTGTCTCCTCCAGTCCTTATCTAAAGTAGAAATATTAATTGTATCACAAAAATTCATTTATTGGCCACACACTGAGTTTCGCTGTGGGCAGGAATCTGCCAGTAAGGCTTATTCACTTCCCAGCACATCCCCAGGGAACTGTTTCAAAGCCCTGTTTTGGAGGCACAGGTTCTTTCACCTGGTTGTGTGCCCTTGAAAAATCAAACAGCCATATGACTTTTCTAAGCCAATAAAATAGGAATATTGCTCAAAATAATCTCTCTGGTCCTCACCCTCTTAAATTCATCTTCTCTCACAGACTCCAGGATAGGTTTTACAGCTCTCAGCCTGTGTCTCCAGCCCAGTAGCCCAGGACCTGTTAATATAGGTGACAGCTGAATCACCAGGTTCATCTCATTGCTGGCAGCAATCAGAACACAAGCAATACTCACGATCTTAGTCTATTAAGGACACTGATGAATTAAAATGTACTGGGAGAAGTATGTGGGTAAATGATGGAAAATGTTCTCAGGAGAAGCTTTTAGAACTATAAATTATTACATTTATTTTTTATTTATTAGATTTACAGTGTCTTACAATCTCTAAAGCATAGGTTTCCACAGATAAAGGCATTGCTCTAGTCATCTGTTTCCTTTGGATAGACTGTTCAACCCCTTAACAAATTTCAATTATTATAAAACTTAGAATAAATTTAGAAGGAACCTTATGTTAGCAATTTTCAAAAGTTGAACAATCTCAACCTCTTAATCCCAATACCTAATAACATGAGAAAGAACTTTCCAACAGGAATGAAAGTAATGCTTAGTAATAGCTAATATTGGGATCATCATGTGCCAAGCACTTAATAAGGATCACTTCAAGTAACTGAACCTTCTCACAACCCTGTGAGAAAGTTGTGGTTATTATTTCTACTTTACCAATAAGGAAACTGAATCTTGGGAGGGGAAAGAGCTTGCTCAAGTCACACAGCTGGCAAGCAGTAGCACTGGGACTCAGTTCTGGTTTCGTGCGGGCAGGGGCCTTTGTCTCTGCTCACTAGATCCCGGTGCCTGATAAACAGTAAGACCTCACATGTTCGTCCAGTGAATTGAATTTTTGTGTATAAATATTTTCATTATAGTCTTAGGTAAAAATTGTTTTCTGTCCTAATTCTCAGTACACTTTGAGACATTGATGAGGTATGATTTGAGTAAATGCAAGTGTTTTAATTCAAGTATGCAATATTCTGTTTTTAGGAACATGAGAGAATTTCACGAATCCATGAAGAATTTAAGAAAAAAAAGAAGGTGCATAAAACCATTTTCTTCTTCAAAGCATATTCTTATCCAAGTACAATAGTGACAACTGACAGACTTTAGATTCTTTTCACTAAAGTAGTTCTTTTTTTGTATTTTTTAAGATTCTACTTGTTGGGGAATAGAGGTGGCTACTGGCCACCTCTTCTGCTCATCTCTTCTGGTTACATTCTGCTGTGTCTTGATTTAGCCGCCCAGGGAAATGAGCACCAATATAGGACTCTCCACCTACATTTCCTTCAAAAAGATTAACTTATTTTACATGTTTCCAACTCTGTCCTTAACTACACAGATCAGTAGAAGCTGGAGAGGGCTTTCATTAAGCATTTCTATACTTATTATTTACTTTTTACATATTTTTGACTACTAAAGTTAAAGGTGCCTCAGCTCTTTGAACCTACCCATTTTGCTGTGAACCTAAAACTATTCCAAAACATAAAGTCTACTAAAAACATGTGGAGAGCTTCACTGTTATTCTCTTAGGCAGAGTTTGAAATCTACTCTGAAGGGGCATTTTCTGGGTTATAATGTGTGTTTGTATGTTCTTTACTGAGGAAGCAGAGGCTGACGTAACAACTATGTTTCTTTTCCAGGATCCTGCATTTCTGGAAAAAAAAGAACGCTGTGATTATCTAAAGAATAAACTTTCTCACATAAAGCAAAGAATTCAAGAATATGATAAAGTAATGAATTGGGATGTACAAGGTTATTCTTAAACCTATTTTAAACCAATTTTTTATATCAAACTTAATATTTATTTACTGTCTTTTTTATGTTAGTCCCTGTGATAGAGAAGCAAGTGCTTCCTGAATCAGCTTCTAGTTGGTGTGGCTGGTATGCAATATTAAAACAATCTGATTTCCCTTCAGACATTTCAAAACATTTAAATTTATTAAGAGCCTTTACTAAAAATGAAATAAATCCTGTATTCATCTGTGTACAATTTACATTTATCTTGTTGAAATTAAAAGTGATTTAGAGATGGTATTCTTGTGATATGATGAGCAATTAAGGTATCAGTTCTGGTGCCGTAGCATATCAATTTTTCCTTTTTTACTCAGACCATTTCCTAAGATTTTTCTAGGACAAATTTCTCTTCCTAGCCAAAGATGTCATTTTTTTTTTTTTCCTCTTGAAAGGGGTTTGAATCTACATTTGCAAGCCTTATGATCTTGGGCAAGTTGCTTTATCTCTCTGTGCCTGTTTCCTCATCTGTAAAATAGGGCTAATAACAGTACCTACCTCACAGGGTTGTTATGAGGGTAAGATGTATAAAGTACTAAAGTATTTAGAACAGAGTCTGGCATATTATAAGTGTTTGTGAAATCTACGGAAGTGTTTGTGAAATGAATAAATGCCTGAATAAGTCTCAAAGAAAGGTCCTTAGTAAGTAACCAAAAGGCCATGTGTCTCATGACTTTCTTTTTTGTGCTGTTAATAACTCTAACACGAAACCATAAGCAGATGCTTCCCTGTGGCTTTGTGCTCTCTGACGTCCAACTCATCTTTAATCAGTATCGCTGTGCACCTGTCTCCACATCCTCACAGCCCAGCCGTTCTATGTACGTCACATCACATCACATAGAAGGGCTGTGTGAATGTTGTTGACCTCTTTCATCCTGTTTGGATGACCATCCTCAGGCCCCGTGATATTGCATTTACTTAGAATCTCCCTTTCATTTATTGGGATGCTTCATCTTCCCAAAAATTATCTTGGCTTTGGCGCTTTATTCATGAGAAGTTTTTAAATTTTTATTAGTATGAACAGTGAACTACCTAAAAACTGTTTTTTAAAAAATTATTGTTATTGGATCCTATTCAGCTGCAACTATCTTATAGATAATTTCCAGGTGTAGAAATAGAATTTTTGCTTAATGTAGGCGCCATTCAAACAATTGATGTTCAAAGAATTTTTCTAAGTGATAAAACCAAAGAAAAACATGTGGAAAAGAGAGTTAAAAAGATTGGTTACTGAATGAACTTCCAGGTTTTTCTTTGTCAGTGAAATTTTATTTAGTGTTTACTGTTAATATTTTAATTCCATGGTTCGCAGACTATGCTTAGGGCCCTAAGAGTCTTAAGAGGTGACACCAAGAGAAGTGTGAGGGCCCCTCTGGACCCCCCTCATTCTCCATCCCCCACCAACTAGAACAGCTTCACTTTCTGCGTTATATATTGGGGCCCCATGTTAACATTTCACTTAAGAGGACTGACCCTTAAAAAAAAAAAAGATGAAATAATACCATCTTCGTAGATTGTAAAGAGTTAGATTAATACTGAAATGAAGTGTTAAGGAAATTCAACTTTGCAAAACTTAATTTTACTAGAATTGTGTTAATCTTTGAAAACCAATGTTGTAACACTGATTTTTAAATTTTTTTATGTCAGTACCTAAGCATATTAAAATTTTAGTTACCTGTTGTTTTGCTTTTCTAGCACTCCTGTGTTGACTGGGCATGTTTTTGAAAATGTTTTCCATTATCAGAAAATAAACGAGAAAGTCATTGAAAACCTGTAGGTCATGACATTCAGGTGACTATTTCCTCCTCTTCCATTATTTGTAAGAATTCAAAGTCAAGGACACTGTGTTGGTTTCCTCAGGCTGCCATAACAATTACCACAAGCTGAGTGGCTTAAAACATCAGAAATTTATTGTCTCTTGAGTTCTGCGGGCCAGAAGTCTGAGATCAAGACGTCAGCAGGGCCACACTCCTGAAATCTGTAGCGGCATCCTTCCTAGCTGCTGGTGGTTTGAAGGCGATCTTTGGTGTCCCTTGGCTTGTATATGTATCACCCAAATCCTCTGTCTTCACATGACCGTCTTTTTTTTTTAGCATTTTATTTGATTTCATTATTAGTTTCAAGTATACAGTACATTGGTTAGACATTTATATAGTTTACGAAATAATCACCCCTGATTACTTTGTCACCCCTCTGGCTCTCCACCTAGCTAACTGCATTCTCTATGCCGTGCTCCCCCCTCCCTGTGACCATCTATCAACTACTAATTTGTACCTCTTTAACCTTTCATCCCTTTCTCCCAGTCCCCCAAACTCCTCCCCTCTGGCAGGGACCAGATTATCCTCTATATTTGTCAGTGTTTTCAATTAGTTTGTTCTTTTTATTCCTTAGATTTCTCATGTAAGTGAAATCATATAGTATTTATCTTTGACTTATTTCGCTTAGCATAATAACCTCTGGATCCATCCATGTCATTGTAAATGGTAGGATTTCATCTTTTATGACTGAGTAATATTCCATTGTATATATGAACCATAATTTCTTTATCCAATCATCCGTTGACATGACTGTCTTCTTATAAGGACACTAGTCATTATTGGATTAGGGACCCGCCTTCTGTAGTATGACCTCATCTTAACTAATTCTACCTGCAGAGAGCCTATTTCCAAATAACATCCCATTCTGAGGTGACAGGCTAGGACGTCAAATCTTTTTTGGGGAGTGAGGGGTTGGCACACAATTCAACTCATAACAGCCACCTTTGGCAAGGTGTGAGATTCAGAAGCCAAATTAATCTGTACATTTTCTTTCCTTCACCTGACTTTAACTTGTATTCTAATTTGAAACTTAATATGAGAATATGTCAGTATATCTAAAAGAGCAAAGTATATATTCTTCACTCATTCATTTGCCAGTTATGTGCCAAGTGCTTTCATTGGCCAGGTGTTGTTCTGGCGTTGCAGGTACAGTTGTCAGTAAACAGGTAGAGACCCTGAGGTTACTGTCTAACAGAATATCTGAATGAGAAGACAAGGGGTTGATGATGAAGTATACATTTTTGTTATGCACATTTCTAGAAATGGTTTGTGTAATGAATCTGATACTGAGATTCACCAGTCTTCAAAAGATAAACAATGTAGGAAAAATCTATAATTTCTTCTGACATCTTTAAAAAAAAAAAAAAACGTGAAAAAAATTTTAAAGGAAAAAAAAATGAGTATAAAAGTTTAGAAAATAAAAGTCCCACCACTATCAATTCCACTCCCTAGCAATCAAGACTCCATCTCTTACTCTATGATATACTGCTTGGAGGATATCTTTCCAGTCTTTATGATACATAAAATCACTTAAAAATTGTCTACCTTAATACTTTAAATGTGTTTTTAAAGAATATCTGAGAGGCAGCACCAATGTGTGATAGAGCAGCTCTCCTGTAATAGAAAATCTGAGGATAGTCAAAGGTGGGAGAGATGGTTCAGCCCAGCAAAAGGAGAAGGTAGAGTTTTGAGCTCATCACAATCAAGACTCCATCTCTTACTCTATGATCTTGACAAATGAACTTCTCTGAGCATCAGCCTCCTTATCTGTGGCCTGGGGATAATAATACTGCCTGATGAAATTGTGAAATTAAATGCAATTATGTAGGTAAATGCCAGGTAGATGCTTGCTCAGTAAGTGGTGGCTAGATATTCAGATACACTTTTCATTGAGTTAGATGATGAGTTGACTATTTTAAAGATAGGTTATCAAAATGAATAATGATTAAAGGCTTTTTCAGAAAGTTTATAGGTAATGCATTTATTGTTGCAAATTTAGAAAATGAAGATAAGCTCACAGTCTTCCAAATACACACAAAATTGCCCAAAATTCTACCCAGAGATAGTCACTCTTAATATTTTGGAACATATCCTTTCATTCTCATCTTATCAGGTATATATTTATATAAACATAAAGTTTTGGTATTTATTAAATTTTTAAAAATTATGTAGTATTATATTGTGTTTTAATTAAGAATTAATAAAACTAAATCAAGTAATTTTCCTGAATTTAGAGTTTTTATGTTTTCTATTTCATTTTAATGCAATTCAATTATATTACTGTTTTAAAGTTATTCATATGGTAGAAAAAGCAAAGAATGGGAGTTAGGTCTAGGTTCAAGCTATGTGGCTTCAGGCAAGTCACTTCTCTGAGCACTGGGATCAGATGAGATAAAATTACCTAAAATAATATTGTAAAGCTCTATTGAAGTCCCTACATTTAATTCTACGTTCTTTGTTCTGATGTTATCAGTAAGAACTTTTCATTAGTAGAAGAAGAGTTCATTATTAGTAATTTGTGCTGTTAATGAGTACATTTATTGAATATCAGGGCTTCTTTGGAGATCCATATATTCTGGTACAGCTTACTGGCTACACAGTGACACCGACACATTCACCTCACATGTGCATTTCCATTTCAACTGATTGACTTGACAGAAACCACAACAGCATATGTCAATGGGAAAGGAGGAAAATAAGGCTAGGGAATGAGGGCGCATTTTCCAATTAACAGGATACAGATTTGGCACCTTACTTTGTTCTCTATAAAGAGGGATGAAAGGTCCCCAGATTTAAGGAGCTCATCATACACCCCACTTCCAGGTATACTTAAAGACTTCATTCTGTTCGCCCTGTAAAATAATTTGTTTAATGGGTAACCCTACCATTTACTTGCTTTGGAGGAAATACTGCAAGGTGTTAGACCCATAATAGACATTTACCTAGACAGTTTGAATTGTAAGTAACATATTAGGTGGCTCTTTTTACATAAAACAAAACCTTTTTGTTATTAATTAAAACAATATTTGTAATCATCATTTTGGGAAGAATTTTGGTAGGATTAAGCAGTCAGGATTCTTAGTTTGTAAACCAGAAGTCGGAGCTGTGTGATTTAAGAAGAGGAATTTATTACCACCTGTCTAGCTTCCAGAATTGCTGGGAGGGCTGGAAAACTGAGCTGGAGGCTTTGCAGCAGGAACAATGTCCAAAATCACACCTAAAATCTCCATGTGGTGAGATGGGGTCTCCTGTTCCTGCTGCCCTCCTGTGTGCCAGATGCACCACCAACCCTGCCATCCTAGGATGCTGGAGCCCTCGTGACTCAGATGACTCAGTGAGAAGTGGACTGATGGAATCAAGGTCACTTACCAGATTCTGGTTGAAAAGAAGCCTAGGATAGCAAAAGCCTTGTGAGCTTCAGTAGGTGGGCTGGAGTCTTGATTGTGATGAGCTCAAAACTTTACCTTCTCCTTCTGCTAGGCTGAACCATCACTCTTACCTTTGACTATCTTCAGATTTTCTATTACAGGAGAACTGCCCTATCACACATTGGTGCAGCCTCTCAGATATTCTTTAAAAACACATTTAAATGAGATTTATCACTTGAGAGTTCACCAGAAGTATGAAGGAATGTATATGCTGACAAGCCAAACAGAAAACAAATATCGACCACAGAATAGCAGTTGTCCTAAATTTGAGTGTAGACAGGGATTTATCTCACTCAGTTATGAATAAGCCAGATATACAAATGGCAGCCAAAGCCAGAACATCCTTAACTTTAATGCTTCCAGGCCTGAGAGGAAAGGTAGGAAGGTTCCCACTAATGTCCTAGACAGAGGAGGTGTGTTCCTGGTCTCCAGGTGTGGGATTCATAAAATATTACTCAAAAGCAATGCAATATAGTAATTGCCTGGCCTTCCCAGATTAGGTCAAATTCTCCTATTATATGCTCATATACTCCTCTACCTCTTATTGAAATGAGTACAGATGTTTACCAAAAGGCATGTATAAGAATATTCCTAGAAATGTTATTCATAATGGCCCCAAACTGGCATCAAGCCAGATGTCCATCAACAGTAGAGTAGTGGAAGAAATAAATTGTGGCTAAGTCATTACAGAGCAATAAATTTAAAAAAAGATGAATTGCTGTTACAAAAAATGACACAATGATGAGTAAAACCCAGACACGAGTGTATACTGCACAATTTTATTTATATAAAGCCCCCAAACAGGCAAAATTAAGCAATGGTGACCTAAGAACAGGGATTACTTTAGGAGAGCCAGTCATTAACCGGGAAGGGGTAAGAAGGAACCTTCTGGGGTGTGAAAATGTTCTACATACTGCTCTGGTTGGTAGTCACGTGGGCGTGGGCATATACATATTTCACTCTCCCCTTAAGATTAGTTCACTTTATATACTTAACATATGTCTGTTCTATATCAATAAAAAAGTTATTTTAAAAATATAATTTCTGGTGGTAGAATTCAGAACAGAGGTGATCTCTGAGAAATGGTTATTGGCTGGGAAAGGGCATGAGGGAAACTTCAGGGTGCTTTACCTTGATCTAGTTGGTTTCCTGGGTATATATATGTGTGTAAGAATTAATCAAGCTGAATACTCAAAATTAGTGCCTTTTACTGTATATATGTAATACCGCAATTTTTAACAACCCATATGTATGTTCGAAGAAAAGTATGTTTTCAATTTAAAACAATGTAAATTAAGCAACACAGTCCTTTCATAAATTGAGAACTGCTTAGGGTCCTAGTGTTCTTAGAAACATTTACAAAGTTATGGCCAGGCCAACAACAATCTTAGAACTGCTGGTTTAATGACTCATATTTGAAACCCAAGATTGCATGTGTTTGTGACTTTGAACCAAATCCCTCTTCTGAGATGGCCAATTATAACCATTTTCTTCCCCTTTTCCTCTATGAGCAGTCCAAAAATATAACGAA